TTTTTTTTTTTTTTTTTTTTTTCGTGGGAAGGAAATAAAAGGGGGAAACCCGAAACCCCACTAATTAATTAATTATAGATATTATTCTCAAAAGTAACGTTCTTTACTAGTTGTAAGGAAAAAGAAGAGGTTTTTTTTTTCCAACTCAGAGAAATTATTTATGGACGGGGAAATTCAGTGAGTCAACTCGGTTAACTGGAAGCGAGTTGAATCGAGCAGACTCGGTCTATAATCTGAATCAAACGAAACGAAATGATGGTATCTCACAAAATTCACCGCAGAACCATACTTTGTTAGTTGAAATCAGCACTATCTATCGCCGCCGGCGTCTTGATATGGCCACCGTTCCGCCGCCACTGGTATTTGAATATCAAATGTTCACCGTGGCTCCGCAGTGGCGATTCTTGTAGCTTGAAGGCGGCAACAATGGCTTTCATACCTCAAAAGCTATGAGATTCTGATAAAAATGGCCGATAGAAGAGAGAGCTGCATGAAGAAGAAGCTGAGAACTATATATAGAGCAAATAGAAGTGATAAAATGAAGAATTGGAATCGATAAAGCAGAACAAGCGCCTCATTCTCAATAACACTTCAAGAACAATCAAATAATGTTGAAATTTTGAAATCTACATGGAAATCCATTCACACTTCCTTTTACTGATTTGTTCTTGCACCTATGAATATAGAAAAATCGTCACTGCATCGATCCACAAAGCTTCCATGGATGAGTAAATAGTACCTCTGCGCCCTGATTCAACTGAATCTTGGAGGTACTCGATTGAATGCGAGTCGAAGAGGATTACTCTACAGTTTGTTTCCTTAATCAGCTACCTTCGTCAAAACTGAGTCTGATTCGCCTTCATACGCTCAAGAATGGCTGTTACCACTTCACCTTGTAGCTCGGTTTCTTCTTCTTCTTCCACCGCACCAGCAGCAGCATTTCCATTAGTTTTAGCATATCCATTTCTGTCTTTCTCCTGAAGTACAAGATAAGCAAGCCGTTCCAAGGCTAGAGTAGCCTGCTTCTTAGCGAACACAGCATTCCTGAACTTCATCTCCGCTACAGCCCTAGCGTCAGCCGCCGCTCTTCGCATGGATTGAGCGACGACACGAGCCGCAGCGACAATCGCCTTCGCCGATTTACCGTCTCTACCGGCCAAAACGGAAACGGCGAGCTCCGATTGGCGAAGGCTGCCGGAGTCGAAACCGTCGAAGAAGGCAAAACAAGGATCGGAGCAGAGAGGGCAGAGGAACGTAGAAGAAAAACGAAAGGAAGTGCAAGAGATATGAGATATTGAAGGGCATCTGAAGCACATAACTCGCTGATGAGACGACGGCGGAGTCGAATCGTCGTAAATATCGAAGCAAAGAGGACAGAAACGGGAAAGATTGTTCTTAAGGACGCAATTGGTGCAGAGACGACGGAAGGAGGCTTTGAAACGGACATTGTGGAGGATCCAGCATACGGACTGAGAAATCCCGCATTCGTGGCAGTTAGAAATGGAGTTGGATTGAAGATGGTTGCAGTGCGGCCGATTCATCGGAGAAACAGCAACAGCAACAGCAGCAGCAGCATTCGCCGGGACAGAAACCCTAGAATCGGAGCCGGCGAGAAAATCCGGGGCTGTGAAGCTTGAAGTAGAGACAGAAACTTGAAAGAAGCATTAGTTTTTTAAAAAGGAACGGTTAGTGATTTTTTTAAAACCATACGTCTAGACTTCAAGACCTGTAAAATAAGCACGTGTTTTTCATTATTGTAAATTACGTGGAATTCAATTGAGATGGACTATAACAGGAATAAGCTTCTGCCATTTGATATGAAAGTTTCCATGGTTCCATATGCAAAGAGAATCACCCAAAATTGTCACATGTTCTATTGAATCACGGCATTATTGAAGATAAGGTTGGTATGTAAAAGAGTATTAAAAAATATTTTTAATAAGGGTGTGAAAACTTAAGGAAAAGTCTAAAGAGAACAATATCGGCTAACCATAGTGGGCTTACAATATCGGCTAACAATAGTGGGCTTACAATATCGGCTAACAATAGTGCGCTTACAATATCTGCAGATAGTAGTGGGCTTAGATCATTGCAAAGTCTAAAGAGGACAATAACAGAATAAATAGTGGGGTTGCAGGTAGTGTTCCCATAAGTCTATAACACAGGTGTATGACACCGGGATTCATCACGTAAATAAATATGTGAGAAGGACTAAAATATATAACATTTGAAAGTTCAGTAATAAAAAGAAAAAATCGATACCAACTTGTTGGGACCAAAATAGGATTTAAACCCGTTCTAATGCATAGATTTGTAGCTTGGATTCATGGTTAGTGTTTAGCATGGTGAAATTTAGATGCTGGATGGGGATGAGAAGAACAGTTTGGAAGTGGCAGTGAAGCAGCAGCAGCAGGCAATTACAAGTAGCAGTCCAAATTCAAAGCAAAAGACATTAGACTCTTTCATTAAGCGTTGCAGCAACAATGTAAGTGAAATATTTGAAGATAGGTAATTAGTATTGAAATCGTGTAAATTCAATATTTTTTAACAAGAGTGTAAACTAATTATAACCTGAATAGCCTGAATCAGCAGAACTCAAATTCCATGATCGAGTTGAGTTGGGATTCAGCATTTAGCTTCCTTCCATGGATTGGATTGACAAATTTGAAATTTTAATAGTTGGTTTGGGTCCAAAAAGTTGGTTATCCCAACCCATCATTTAGCTTCTCCGATGAGTATCAGTTGCAGGTGTTACCTTGATTGTTTCAGCCCCCCTTGTTGTCCAAGGTGATCAGCTACAATTCTACCAACATCCCCCACTCCAACTCCAATGCACAGAGGATTTGCAGAGCAGCTTTGTCTGGCCAAAGCACCAGAAACTCTCACATTTGGTCCATCTCTGCATTTTCCCATGCATTTACACCCACACACAGCACCATCAGCCCCCATCACCCTCTCAAATTCCTCCATCAATGCTGCTGCCCCTGCCTTCTTGCACTTGTTTCCCATGCACACTTCAACCCTTCCTACAGATACGGATTGTGCGACGCCGATGTTTTTAGTGTCGGAATTGAGCAGTTGGGATTGCAAAGGAGGAGGCAGTGTTGATTCTTTAATGCCATTTGTCTTCCATTGATCTGGGAATGGCTGTGAAAGTGCCTTCCTTATTCGGTACCTTGTGTTGATCATGTAGCCTTCGTTGTCACTGGATTCAGAGGATGAAGATGATGATGACTTGTGAATTGTTTTTGCTCGAGTTGCTTTCAGCTTGGCCTTCTCTAGCTTTCTCTTTCTTTTCTGGTCCTTTTCCTCAGATTTTAGTTGTTGAAGCTGTCTTATTAATGCCTCCCTTGTTTCCTCGATCTGAAATTAAGGGAACAACAATGCGATCAATGGTTGTTATCAACCAATCTATGCAGCCAAAACAAATACAACAAGAAATCATTCATGAAGATTGAGTTCTAGTGCGATCGAGCAGAAACAAGAGAATTGGATCGCAAATATTTGCAAAGAAATCTCAAGCTCAACTCCGATTGAACATGGATAATTTATAGTACTTAATTCGGATAACGAGAAGAAAACATCTCAATAATTCAGCTGGTGCAGATCAAGTAGCGCGATCAAACCGGATTTAGGTCAAGAGATTTTAAAAATGCTTGAGGCGATTTTACAGAATTGTTCAACTTACAGAGAAGCGATCCGCTTGAGAGTCTCCGATCAAGCAATCATCAAGTCGAAATACTAAGCCGGATTCATGATCCGTAGATGAATAACCGGACAATCCTTTCAACAGTTTGAATTTCTTCTTCACCGCTTCCTTCTCCTTCTTCAATCTCCTCCCCTGGCAATTCGGTCCAACATAATATCGCAAATGACCATTATCAGAAAACCTAGAAGAATCTACATTCCGACGACCGACGAGGCCTATAACGCGAGTTCCAGTACTAACAGAGCCACCGGAAACGGACAGGCTACAGGGAGCCCGCCGTGCATCGGCGCTGGCGACATCAACGGATTGAACAATCTCACAGCGGAAGAGGCTAGAGAGCCGCCGGGTAACGGCGCCGGAGACCTCCATGAATTTGAGGAAAACGGATTCGAAACAACGGATGGATTGAAGATTTCAACTGGAAAAGAAGCGACGAATCGAATTTTGAAACTAGTTTTAATGACGTGGCGGCTTTTGATTCGAAAGATGGAGGACCTCGTGTCGACTCACGTGGACCACGAGCTTCTTACGTTCCCGCGGAAGCGCTGCATTAACCCCTGCCGTTGGATGATTAAAGCGTGGATTGTATGGCTGGGAGATAGTACACGTGGGAACACGTAGGATGCTGACGTGTACCGCTTTAAGTTTTTGGCTTTCCCTTTCCATTCAAACAAAAAAACAAAAACAAAAAACAAAAAATCATTTAATTTATTTAATTTTTTTAAGTTAAAAATGTTAGATGATAAAAGTCCTACATCAACTAATTTAGAGAATGATTATGAGGTTATAAAGAATTAATATTCTCTCTATTGGTACGAGGTCTTTTAAGAAAGCCTAAAGCAAAGCAATAGAGCTTATGCTCCAGGTTCGTCTAACCTGATATTTTTCTTTTATTTTCATTTTCTTAAGAAATAATTATTTTAAAATAAATTAAGATAAAGCATGCCACCTTAATGAATATTCGTACCTTATTTAAAATAAAAGAAAAAATATTTGGCGTATGAAATTTAAAAAATAATCGTTTTAAGTGCTCGACATACTCATTGGTCTCTCTCGCTTCTTGTAGAAGATATATTTTCAGACACGTGTACACAGCTCTCCCCAAAAGAGCATCAACGCCCAACAACATGCCACCTGTAAGTTGATGCTAACACGTGGCATAATCCGTACCCCAACCGACCTCTCCAGACGCCACGTATCGTCCCGTCTTCCTCCGCCACGTCTACTCACCGTTTACCGCTTCCCCACTATAAAAAAAAGCCCTAAATTCCCCATGTCGCCGGAGGATAATTTTCTTCACTCTACTTGACGATTTCACTTATTTACTTTCAATCCATCAACCCAAATGCCTTCGATTCAAGTTCACCGTTGCCGGATTTCTCTACCGGTGGCGGTAGCGGTGGCGTTGCTGGTTTTTACGGTGAGTTTTTGCTGGAGCGAGAACGTGGTGCACGTGCCGTCGACGGAGGAGGCTCGAGATTACCAAGAAATGAAGGTCGAGATGGCGGCGAAAGATGAAAAGGAAAAGGATCAGTCGGCGGAGACTTGGACGGAATGGGCGAAAGAGAAGATATCCGGCGGACTTGGACTGAAAAATGAACGGCAAGAAGATGGCGTAAAGAAAGTTACTGATTTCACTTCCGGTGCCGCTGAAAAGGCCAAGGACAAAATGGGGAATGCCGCCTCAGGTTCTGTTCTTAATAAATTTTTATTTTGAAATTTTTGAACAAATTTCTTCGAAATTGGAAGTTTCTAGAGTATTTTCTGTGAATTTACTAAAAAGATATTTTCCTCTCCGATAGAAGCGGGACATTGCGGTGGTGAGAAGGGCAGAGAAGTGAAGGACACGGCGGCGGAGAAGGCCGGGAATGCCAAGGACAAGGCGGCCGAAATGGCGACCACGGCATCCGGGAAGACAACCGAAGGAGCAGAGAAGGCGAAAGAATACGCATCCAATGCAGCAAAAGCAGCGAAGGAAAAAACCGCCTCCCTGAAGAACAGAGGCGAGGAAGTCGCCGGTGAGGCGGCGGAGAAAACGAGAGAAGCGGAGGAGGCAGCGAAGAAGAAAACAGAGGAAACAACGGAGGCGGCGAAGGAGAAAGCGAAAGAGAAGGGGAAGGAGGCGAAGGAGAGCGCGGAGGCGGCGGCGGGAAGAGCAGAGGAGGCGAAGGAGAAGATGAAGAGCTGGGCGAAGGACGGGTACGAGGCGGCGAAGGAGAAGATAGGGGAGCAATACGAGGCGGCGAAGGAGAAGATGGAAGAGCAATACGAGGCAGCGAAGAAGAAGTCGCAGAGGATCAAAGACGACGTGGTTTGGTCGGAGGCGGAGATCGGGGCGGACGACGAGCTGTGAATAACTCCGGCACAGTGGCGGGAGTGTATGTTCATATTATAATGTAGAGAAGAGAGTTCCGTTTCAAGATTTCAATAAATAGTTTTTAATGGTTTATAATTATTTATTTTTGAACTTTTATTATTATTAATAATGCTTCATTTATTTAATAAATGAGACACGAAATAAATGCGAACAAAATAAAATAAAATAAAATAAAATAAAGATAAAAAAGATAAAAGCACTTTTTAGTAAGTACTTTCCCACGTGTTGTGTATTTTATTTTAAATGATGTCAGACTTGGAATTTATTTGATTTTTTTAAAATTGACAAATACACAAAATTAATTATTTTATGATTTTAAAAATTCATTAAACACTCCTAAAATGGTTTTATTATTTAAAAAATATTCTATTTTTATTAATTTAGCCAAAATAAAATTCTAAAAATTACCAAAAATAAAAAAGTTGAAAAGGATAAGGATAAAGGATAAAGATTTTTTAAAATTATTATTTAAAAGTAAAGACAAGAATTATATAACCAATTATAATTATTTTAATGGCAAGACTCACGTTTAACACAAAGAGACAAAAACGGTGGCGTTTTATGTATAAAGTCAATATCATCAGGTAAAATTCGGAGGCGGAAAAAAGAAAAGGAAAAAAATAAATGCAATCATCCAAAGAAAATTGGAGCAAATAAATAAATTGATATTAAAAAAGGAAAAAGAAAACCCAATGAAGCGCGTGGGGTCAATAGTACGTGGTTGCCATTAAAAGTGACTGTCACGTACTGTTCCCGCGCGTGGGGTTTCATTCTTTTTATTATTGAATCGTTCAATAATCGAAGGCGCGAAGCCATGTAAAAGGCCAAAAAAGAAAATAAATGAATAAAATAATAATTAAAAAATTATTTAAAAGAAGAGAGAGAGAGAGAGAGAGACCACAAACTTGGCAGAGAGAGACGCAGTGGTGAAAGAGGAAGACGAAGAAGAAGGAGAATGAGAGTTGGGAACTATGAGTTGGGGAAGACTCTTGGAGAAGGCAATTTCGGCAAGGTGAAGTTGGCCGCCGATATCCGTACCGGTCGCCGTTACGCTGTCAAGATCCTCGACAAGACTAGGATTCTCCGTCTCAACTTCTCCGACCAGGTTTCTTTCCATTTCATTTCTTCCTTTTTTCTTTATGTTCTTATTGTTATTTAGCGAATCGTACTGATGCAATCGGAATCGGAATCGGAATCGGAATCGATTGCAGATTAAGCGTGAAATAAGTACTCTGAAGCTCCTCAGGCATCCGAATGTTGTAAGACTTTATGAGGTTTGTATTCGAACGAGCGTGATTCGGATGGATTTAGTGAAGAAATTAGTGTTTTGAACTTCTTTGTATGTACGTTACAGGTTTTAGCTAGTAAGACGAAGATTTATATGGTTCTGGAGTGCGCCTCTGGTGGAGAATTGTTTGATAGAATTGTAAGTGTTTTTTTTTATGTTGATTTGGTTGAACTCCTGTTGGACATAGTCATAGAATTGGGGAGTTTGAGTTAGAGATTACTTTGTGCGTGTTTTAGGAATCCAAAGGTAAGATGGATGAAGCGGAAGGTCGAAGGCTCTTCCAGCAGCTTATTGATGGTCTCAGCTACTGCCATGAAAAAGGAGTTTACCACAGGGATCTCAAGGTATTTACATGCGGTTTCTGTCTCCTTTCGTGAAACAGTCACTCTTCATACCATTTTTATTTGATATGTTTTTGCCGGTTGATCCTTGTAGCTGGAAAACGTGCTTGTTGATGACAAGGGAAATATTAAGATTTCTGATTTTGGCCTCAGTGCTTTACCGCAGAATTGCAGGGTAATATTCTATAGAAATCTACTTTTGAGATCATGTACATCTAGATCTTGGCTACTTAATTCGTAGTTGAAGAACTAGAATTGATGGATAGTTTATGGCCTTAGGAAGACGGTTTGCTGCACACCACCTGTGGAAGTCCCAACTATGTTGCACCAGAGGTTCTTGCTAACAGAGGATACAATGGAGCCGCCTCTGATATATGGTCATGTGGGGTTATTTTGTATGTCATTCTTACGGCCTGTCTTCCTTTCGACGAGACCAATCTATCTTTACTTTATAAAAAGGTACCGAAAACTGACTACGTTGGGGGAAAAAAGAACAAACTAGAAACTAACATATGCCTTGTATTCTTTCGATACCCTGTCTCTCTCTCTCTTTTTCTGGTTCCCCTTTAGCAAGAATATTTATATGCATCAACGTTCGTTGTAGACTTTGAGGGGGGATTTTCAGATACCCAAATGGTTATCGGCAGGTGCCAGAAAGTTGATAGGGAGAACTCTTGACCCCAATCCCAACACACGCATTACAATAGCAGGAATTAAAGAGAATGAGTGGTTCAAGACCGACTATAATCCTGCTTCTCCTTGTTATGACGATGAGGAGGAGGGTCCACTTGATGATCAGGATGATGCCATCTCAACGCCTGATGAGGTATATGTAGAGAGAGAGACAAATTGTTTCTCCTTGTTTTTCCCCCACCCCTTCTTACCAGTTTTATCATGTTTTACTGATGAGATTTCGGATTTATACCTTTGGCATAGCCATCCGACGTCGAAAACAGCCCAAAATCTCCATCTATTATCAATGCGTTTGAGTTAATTGGGATGTCTTCAAGTCTGGATCTGTCTGGTTTCTTTGAGCAAGAGGTGAGAGTACAAGTGCAGAAGGCTTGTTTGTTCATTTTATAACCTTGTTTGATTACCTAACGTTCTAATCTGAATAATCATAGGATGTTTCCGAGAGGAAGATCAGATTTACATCCAACCATTCGGCCAAGGACTTGCTTGAGAGAATTGAAATTATCGCAACAGATATGGGATTTCGAGTCCAAAAGAAAAGTGGAAAGGTTGGTACTCAGTTCTTAGCATTGAAAGAGTGTGGTAGATGTCAACATCGTTAACCCATCCATGGAAATGGGTTAGTGAGAGTTGTGGCCATCGTTGCCTGCCGTTTTAAATTACAAACGACCCCTCAATTACAAACGACCCCTTATAAGGCCGTTTCCCTTTCTTGCAACATGCCTGTAACATCTTTTCTTTTCTGCGTCTTTAGTTGAAAGTGATGCAAGAGGTAAGATGCCAAAGAAGCCTAAGTAATCTATCATTTGTGGCAGAGGTAAAAATGTCATTAAGGTTACGTTTTAAATTTCATGAGACCTTGATGCCAATAGTTGCTCCCATTAACCAAATCTGCTGAATTCTTGTCCCAGGTCTTTGAGATAAGCCCGTTGCTTCATGTAGTTGAACTGAAAAAATCTTTTGGAGATTCATCAGCTTACAGACAGGTACACATTTCGTAGTAAAAAAACGTCGGTTTTGAATGATTTTTACATGCTTAGAACAATTTTTTGCTCTTAATATATATTTCTAAGCATTTAGAAGGTCATTCGGAAGAGTCCCAAAGTACTAGATTAGAAAAACTCGTGCCAAGGAAGCCACTTTTTTCTATTAAAAAAAATCTTTACTTCTAATATCAATTCAATTCAATTCAAACCCTGCAGTTGTGTGAAAGGCTATCAAATGATTTGGGCACAAACCCAGAGCTCGAACGGCATAATTCAAGCTCCTTAGCAGTAAACAGTACATGTTAGAAGAAATTGATACACAGATTTCTAGTAGAATCATTATAATTTTATAATTTGGATTGATTTCAAAGTCTTTGATTGGTGCATAAGTGGGTATAAATGTAGATAATAGGTAGAGCCAAATATTACATGGCAGGAAGCCTCCTTTGTATCCTCTTGTATGTAAAACTCTATACCAAATGTTGTATAAGAACACAAAGTTCATAAGTATGATGGAAGTTTGAGAATATAATCATAGTTCTCTTCCTCTTTTATAACACAGATCTTCTAAACAATTTGATATACACATTACTTTATCCTATCTTGGGTTCTTTCGATCTAAGATTACATTTTCTGATGAAAATATGAGCCCTTCCAAATCATATTGCTGCACAGGAATTGGCTTTTTTTTCTCAACCTTATAGACAATTATTCACAACCATGAAGGCTAAAAATGTAACTCAAAAGAAACTTAATTTCCTAACCTCGTCGAGATAAATGGCAGTCCGATACCAAGACTATGTGGCAAGTCGATTGGCTTTTTTTCTCAACCTTATAAACAATTATTCACAACCATGAAGCTAAAAATGTAACTCAAAAGAAACTTAGTTTCCTAACCTCGTCGAGATAAATGGTAGTCTGATACCGAGACTATGTGGCAAGTTGATTGCCGAGCTCTTCACTATAGACCTGTATCAAACCACTGTCGTCGTCATTTTGGAGCTTATCATTTAGTATAGCCTTGTATTGATCATCTCTGTTCTCCAAGCTGCGTATGAATTCAACCTAAGAACAAAAAAGAATAGTTTGTCATACATCACAACAAGGCAGAGGTAACATGTTTCACAACCAAAAACAAACATGTTTTTGGAAATTATATGCCTAGGAATCTAAATATGCAAACCATAATCGTCTCAGAATCTAGAAATATGCCCAGGAAACATTCACCTGTTTTTGAAAAAAGTCGAATTCGTCGGAGCTAAGAGAGCCATCACTATTTGAATCCAGAAGTTGCATCATCTCTCGTGCATCTTCTCCGGCGGCGTCAACACCGAGGTCTTCCATGACGTCAACAAGCTCCTCAATGCTTATCCTACCATCTCCGTTCTTGTCGAGAAGACCAAAAACTCGACTTCTTTGGTCAGTATGTATCCCTTTATAGTTAGACGATGGAAAATCTTTAAGACGTAGAGCAGCAAGTTCAGCTGCAGCCAACATTTTGGCCTTGAGCCGCTTAGCCTATAGCATTGACAAACAACCACATCAATCTCAAACTTATAGAACAAAACTACTAATTCAAGTGTATTAAACCATTAAAATAGATACTAACTTCTTCTGGATCTGTGAGACCTCCCTTGTATAATGAATGTGATGCTGTTCCACCAGCAGCCAATTTGTCCATCTCTGTAGTTCGTATCTGTATTTCCATTAATGGCTTTGTCTTGCTCTCTTCACTCACATCCACAGCCATGTGTAAGCTCTTATAGCCATTGGGTTTTGGCCTTGCAATATAGTCTTTAGTCCTATGGGGTATCTCTTTCCACTGTGACTTTATAATTTCACCTGCCTGGTAGCAAGCTCTCTCACCCATTTCTGATGAATCCGTCCCGGACCTAGGCTTCAGTATGACGCGTAATCCTAGAATATCGTTAACTTCCTCGAGTTTTCGACCATCTTTCAGAAGTTTCTTCATGGTACTAGATCGACTCTTATAGCGACCTTTGACAGAAATATCTTCCACCATCTCTGTTAATATAGGATCATTCTTCAAGGACTGTTCCAACTTATCCTTGTATGTTTCGATCAAAGACTTACTTCCCGACTCGTGGCTTCGCAACCACGAATCTACGTAGAAGTAGGAGCAAGGAAACAAGTAACGAAAAGAAAGATCCTCCAACTGAAGTGATAAGAAGTTGGCTCCTACTGCAAATGCCAATGGTGCATGGATCTTCAAAACCTCAAGAGAAAGCATCTGCTGCTGGTATCTTGGCAAGAATTGGAGATGCCTCATTGAATCAAGCTTCAGAGCCAGCTCTAAAATCAAGGCTCTAATATCATAATATGTAAGACAGAACCTTCTTAAAGCAGCTGAACTATCGTCGTCGAAAATATCGACTCTTGAAGGAATCAGCTTCACACGTAGGCTCTCGTGCAGTAAATGAGCAGTACTAATGCCTATCTGGTTCTTGACTTCCTGAATGGATATTCCCCCAGTCTCCATAACCTCTCTAAGAATGCCTGCGGATATAACTTCTGCATCCATCTGTGATAATGGTTTGTTCCAAAATGTATCAGTGACTGAAAGTCTCAAATCTATCAATTTCAGACTGAAACTCACAGAAAAAGGCTGTTGAGCAGTATAGAGCTCCCGTTAAGAACAATGCCTATTGCGATGTTAAAGCAAAAATAAGCAACAGAAAGCATTCAGGCATTCAGTTCCATCTCTTCTTCGACTAGTTTCTACATCCCCAACAATCTAACTTAAAGAGTGAGATCCCACATCGGTGGGGAGGAGAATGAAACCTTCTTTATAAGAGTGTGGAAAGCTCTCCCTAGCAGACGCGTTTTAAAAACCTTGAGGGGAAGCCGAAAGGAAAAATCCAAAGAGGATAATATCGGTTAGCGTTGGGCTTGGGATGTTACAGTTAGTATCAAAGCCAAACACCAAACGATGTGCCAGTGAGCAGGTTGAGCCCTGAAAAGGGGTGAACACAAAGCGGTGTGCCAGCAAGGACGTTGGGCCCCGAAGGGGGTGGATTGGTGGGAGGTCTCACATCGATTGGAGAAGGGAACGAGTGCCAGTGAGGACGTTGGGCCCCGAAGGGAGGTGGATAATCTGGAGGAGAACGAGCATTGTTTATAAGGGTTTGGAACCTCCCCCTAGCAGATGTGTTTTAAAAACCTGAGGGATGCCTAAAAAGAAAAGCCCAAAAAGGACAATATCTGCTTGCGTGGTCCCTATGCAAGGATGCACACACAATTTGAGAAATGGTATCAGAGCCAGTCACCGGATAGTACGAGGCACTGGTCAAAGTAGGGCTAGATCCTTTCAATAGTAGATGCGTTTTAAACCCGTGAAGCTAACGGTAATACGTAATAGGCTAAAACGAACAATATCTACTAGCGGTGTGCTTGGACTGTTACAAATGGTATCAGAGCCAAACATCAGGCGGTGTGCCAGCAAGAACGTTAGGCCCTAAAGGAGGTGGATTGTAAGATCCCACATCGGTTGCAGAAAGGAACAAAACATTGCTTATAAAGAGGTGGAAATCTCTCTGTATCAGACAGGTTTTAAAATTTTTCAGAAGCCCAAAATGAAAAATCCAAAAGAAGACCGTATCTGCTCGCATAAAACCCATCAACAAATCATTAATACACTATATGGGAATTATTCGATAAGCCTCTGATTGATTTTTAACTTAATTTTTAAAAAATTACATACTTTTACCTTTTAGCAGAAAGCTCTGTAATCTCCTCTAACCATAAGCCACAAAAGTTTCTGAACTTGATAAAGAAGAGAAGGAAAGATTAAGCTGGAAGCTGAGGAAGTTGCAGAGAATCCAGTAGCGAAAAGCAGGCAAATGAGATTTAAACAACCAAACTCTGAAACCAACGCTACTATGGATTGAACAATAGTTAAACTAAAGCATACGATCGATCAATCAAATAACAATCAAGACCATAAGAACAAAGAATCGAAGCGATAGCAACTCAATTAGTATCAACAACAGAAACGCCATTAGAAAGAGCAAGAAAACCTGGAGATCGGCGAGAATAAGAGCCACAGACAAGGCCTTGGAGAGCGGAGAGCGGCCATCTGGTAGCAGAGGAAAACTCTGCAAAATAGGGATCGAGAGCTTGAGAGTGACGAAGAGGATCACAGACGAACTAGTGGAATTGAGATTCATCCTATCGGTAAGCTCATTGAAGGCTCCGATGAGCTCCACCACTAATTTCCCGCCGGCATGCTCCGGCACGGTGGCGGGAAGATCAGGTGCGCCGGAGGTGGAGGACGCTCGCAAATACAGAAGGCGGTATCGAGCGAGAGGCTTGAGGGGGCGGGGACAGTGGCGGAGGAGAAGATTGGGAGGGGCAAGATTATGACAGTCGGTGAGAGAACGGAGTGAGAGGAAGTGGAGGTCCGGGGAAGGATTAATGGCGGAGAAGAGCTCCATTATTGTGGGTCTGAAGCTCAATCCGGAAGGAGCGGAGCCATTATTGAGTTCAAAGGAGCTTGAATGAAGGTGACGCAGACGCCGCAACTGCCACACGAATTAAAGGTTGGATTCATGGGTTTTATTTGTTTTTTTTAATATATTGTTTTTATAAATACTAATTATCCTTTTTTTAATTGTTATATATTTTAATTTATATCCAAAAAATAAAATACTAATTAATACTAATTTAATTCTATTTTTTCTCAAATTAAATACTAATTAATAGTTTATTGTTAGTCAATTTTGAAATAATTTAATCCTTAAAGCTTTTAATTTTATGTCCAAAGAAACATATTTAAAAATAATATAATTATTAAATTTATAATTTTGTATCTATTTTTTTTTAAATTTTAAATTATTAAATAAAGCTGTCAATATTTTTTTTTTTAAGTTCTCTTATGAAAATATTTAATAGGTTCCTTAATTTTAAAATTTGTATTTAATAAATTAAGATATAATATTTAATTTAGTATCTACTAATAGTCCTATTCAAAAAAATTCAAAAAAATAAAAAAATAAAAAAAATAAGAGGCGAGGAATAAACTTAATTTAACCAAACGAAAACAATGAAAGAAAGCTCATAGGCTGAGGTTGAGAAGGATCCAAACTCAGAGAAGCGCACTGCCAATCCTTCTGAAAGCTACAGAATTGAACTCCGAAGTAACCATGAAAGCTTTGGCCTCAGCTCACTCAAAAGCTCCTTTCAAGTTCCAGGATGTGAGTTCTTTCTCGCTTTCAACTCCACTATTGTTCTTTTCATTGATTTCTCTTTCTCATGGTTTTATATTTCTTATGTTTTCGATCATTATCGAAGTCCGACGGCGGAGAATCTAGTGCCAATTCGTTTGGACATTGAAATCGACGGTCAGAGGTTCAAAGATGCCTTCACCTGGGACTCTTCTGGTAATTTTCATTGCTTACCTTGGTTGTGCCTGTTATGTTTCCTTCTAAATCAGGGATGATTCGTTTGTAGGTTAGTTTCAGCTCTTGACTGCTCGAATTTAGGTTTTATATTTTTCTCCCTAAATTTAGGATTTCTGAGTTGTAATACTGAATTAATCACTGTTTTACCAATGATTTTGGCCGCCGTATTGCTGATACTTTAATGGACTTGTAAACTTCGTTTGGTTTAAATATCTGACTTAATGTCTTCCATTGTGACTGTTTTGGTTTAGTATTTAGGCCTGAAATCAGTGTTTTGAAAGTTCTTAGTATGGCGAACTAAAGCACGGTAGACATTGAGAACGCAAAATGTTGTTGGATGAAAGCCCCACATTGACTAATTTAGGGAATGATCATGGATTTATAATCAAGGAATACTATTTCCATTGGTGTGAGGCCTTTGGGGAAGCCCAAAGCAAAGCTATGAGAGTTTATGCTCAAAGTGGACAATATCATACTATTGTGGAGAGTCGTGGTCATCTAACATGGTATTAGAGTCATGCCCTAAACTTAGTCATGTCAATAGAATCCTCAAATGTTGAACAAAGGACTCCAAAAGAAAAGGAGTCGAGGCTCCTCGAAGGCATGGTAAAAAATGACCAAGGCTCCAAAAGAAAAAGGAGTCAAGCCTCGATTAAGAGGAGGGTACTTTGTTCGAGGGGAGATGTTGGATGAAAGTCCCACATCGGCTAATTTAGGGAATGATCATGGGTTTATAATCAAGGAATATTATCTCCATTGGTGTGAGGCCTTTTGGGGAAGCCCAAAGCAAAGCGATGAAAGCTTATGCTCAAAGTGGACAATATCACAACATTGTGGATAGTCGTGTTCATCTAATAAGTGTGAGTCATTTTGTGTTAAATAGGCCTATGGTGTATTTGATATATATATATATTTTTTAATTAACATATCTATTAAACATAAAATTGAGTTTTGTGTCTAGTGATGCTTTAAACTTTCAATTTTGTATACAATAGCTCTTTGAATTTTAAATAATGTCAAATATTTCAAAGACGTATTAAACACAAAATTAAAAAATTTAAGGACTTTTTAAATATTAATTTGAAAGTTTAGAGACTTATTAGAGATTCAATGACTAATAAAAAAAAATTTGAAAGTTCTGAGATATATTTAAAAAAATTTATAATACCAACGACTAAACTTGTAATTTAACTTAAAATTTATACAAATGAAAAATTGTATTATCGACGATTAAGGCATTGGAAAAGTTCAGAAATTAGAGCTTTTTGTAAGAGGTGGGGGAGAAAAACAATCATTTTCTTTAAAAATCTTTGTTAGTTTCTCCATGCTTTAATTTTGTCATTTGGAAAAGGAGGTTGAAAGAACTTTCTCATAGAGTTTAATCATTCTCAGGCTTTATGAGAGACTTTAAATTATATGAATGACTTGTTATGCATTTTGTATCTTAAAACGTTCCAAAACCACTGGCACCTACCATTGAGGGTTTACTTGAAAATGCCTCTTTTGCTCTTCTGATAATATCTTCAGTAACGTCATGATATTTGATGTTTACTCTAGATCCAGATTCAGAGGGTGCTCTTTGCAAAGAGGACGGTGAAAGATTTAAAGCTTCCCCCGTTATTTATAACACAAATTGCACAATCCATTCAAGTAAGGATAATAGTCATCCGCGTCTCTCTCTCCCATTCTTCAAGGATTTGAATGGTCAGCCTAAACCATGTCTCCTTTAGATATTAACAACAAAACCTTATAACTTATAGATCATTACATATAATGAAATCTTGACTTGCCATCAAATTTATCATGTTTTCTCTTGGGTTTTGCTTATCAGTTGCAACTTACAGAATTTCAATCCTTTGAAGGTCAAGATATGTATAGTGGTGAAACGGTCATTTCAATCAAAATTTGTCTAGTTTGCGTTAACAATGCCAATCTCTTGACAACTATCTCCCTTTGTCATTATTCAACAGCTTGATGCCAAATAATGCAATTTTATTTTCTTTCCCAGCTTGATCTCCGAGTGAACAATACCCTCATAAAAGATCAGTTTCTGTGGGTAAAGTTGAGCATACTCTTGATACATTTGACTGGAACAAATACTTATTCAGCTTACTTGTGCAAAATGATATATTTTTTAGGACTTGAACAACTATGAGAGCGACCCTGAAGAGTTTTCCATGACATTCTGCAAAGATTTGGGTATTGAAGACCCTGAAGTAGGAGTGAGTAAAGATCAATTGAATATGTAACTGTTATGTACAAAGTTAGAACTGTTTGTTCCAGGTAAATTGGTTCCTTCGGTTGTGAAAAGGCAGCATTCCATGTTAAAGGGATGGATTATCAATGAGATATTTTCGCCTAAATTGTCATCCTGCACATGTTTTTCTCCAACTATTTGATACTAAGAGAATTTCATTTATTTTTGTAAGGTAGCCTGCAATTGCTTTTGTAATTAGAGAACAGCTCTATGAGGTTATTTTTTTCTTGCCTGTTAAAGCCTCCTTCTCCTCAAAACTATTTCTTTTTTCTAATTCTCTTCACAATCTGAGTGATTTATTTCATCACTGCATCTTCATGTGTCTATCTTCCAGATAGCTGTGCAGAATGTTAATTCAGCAAGAGAAAGCAGAATGAGCAAGTTTGAGCATGTTCCTCCAAGGTATCTATTTAGATATTCAAACTTGTGCATTTTTCCTCATTCTATCTAAATATTTACCATTATTCATTTGCCTATTGCGATGGTACGTTTCTCTGTTTGGCGCAACAGTAAAACTGGAGGTGCTTCGGTGGACCTCGTGAAGTTATTTGGTAATAAATCTCGATTCACTATTTTTTTTTTTTTTTGAAGTGATTAGTCTATTCCTTGAAGCTTATGGATTTTCCTTCCATTTCCATTCTCTTATCTAACCTAAGAAGTATATGGTATATAAATCGTACACGATTTTCTAGTACTGCTAGTTATGTTTGTTTTCTGGTATCGTGTGTCGTTGTCTTCAAGAGAGAGAAATCCAATGTTTATCAACATTGACCTAGAAGTTTAGGGTGTTTTTGATTCCTGAGAATCATTAGGGGCTCATGTGAATGACAACTTATCTCAAGTTCAAATAGATTCCCACATGCGTGAGATATCTAGACATGCTGAGATGTCTTCATATGCGGGTATCTCATTTCCACAACACTTGGTGGGGTTATGGGTGTCTATATTTTGCGCATAAACAAAAAGATATTGTTTGTTCTTTGTGCCCTTTTACCATTTTTCTAAGAGTATAGCATACTTTTAAATTTTATTTTATTTAGTTAGTAGTTTATGTTTTATTATTAACGTTCTGTCTGTTACAGATAAATATGAACTTTTTCGTTTTTTTTTTCAGAATCAGAGAGTTCATATCCCTATCTTAATGCCATTTACACTTCTTTATTCTCAAGTTTTAGCTTAAAATTAGTTTAAAGTACATGAATCACGTGACATGCACTTCATGCACTTAATTATTACCATGATCGAAGCATGTTTAATCCGAGCTTAGACCATTATTTTTTTCACCGTCTCAGTTTTTATACTATTTTCATTTGCCAGAGTTGGTGAGCTAAGTTTGGGAATGGGTTCTTTTTTTTTTTCAGTATAAATAACTAACTCCTATTATTAGTCTACTTCTAATATTCTTTCCAGCTGACTAAAATTATTAAAATTTGATGCTTACCGTAGTAGTATATGTTTGTTAGGATTCATGAACCTCCACAATGGTATAATATTGTTCACTTTGAGCATAAACTCTCATGACTTTGTTTTTTATTAGTTCGATGTAGAACTCATTTCCCAACGACCCTCAATACTATACACTAAAATGCAACGAGATAAGAAAGGATTGGAACATTTACGAACCAATTATTGATCTTTTATCAAACGAGAAAGCTAATGCCCTTGAATCAGAAAGAGAGAGGACTGCTTGGCAATATATTCTCAGTTGATCATATCACTTCTTATGGTCTAAGGTAAATTATCTGACACGGATGAAGTTAGGCAATTGTTCTTGCTGTTTCAACACATAATTAACATTCTTTAACTTTCCAAATTACAGGATTTCATAGCAATTCTTCATTGTAAGCCAATAAATCTAGCTGTTAAGTATGGTAATAAACTCTCTGAT